CGGGCAGTGCAGAGGGAGGCAAGGCCCCCTGAGGAAGAAACGGAGCCTCTGCAGACAGAGCAGCAACACGTCTTCCAGTCATGCTGTGAGCAGCAGAAACAACACTCACGACCTACCCTCTCCGTCTCTACCTTTGTCAGAAGCACTGGGGCAGACCTCCCAAGAACACACAAGTCAATGTGTGAATGGCAAAGGCTCTGATTTGCAGACACACACAGGGCCTGGGTAGGCCATCCTACTACCTGAAGGAAAACGTCAGCCCCCCTGCCATGGCGTCGCCTCTGATTTTCTCTCTGACCACATGGCATATACTCTCAGCTTGGTCAGGGTGCTCTAGCTTCACAGGCTTGGCTTTCCCACCACAGGACCTTTGCACAGACTCTTCCTCTGTTCAGTGTGCTCCTGGCTCAGCTTTTGCACAGCTGCCTTGATTACATGGCTAACCCCCTCAGAGACCTTCTCCCCTTCCCATTTCCCTCCAGCACACTCTCCTGTTTGGTTTCCTTTAGAGCACGATCTCTATTTCAGTTTGTGTATGTGTTGCTGGACTCCTTACTGGGATGTAGGCTCTATGAAAGCAGGGATTTTGTCTTATTCTCACCTGCATCCACTTCCCTACAACAGTATCTGGCATGCGGTAGGCATGCAAATATTTAAGTGGATAAATAAACCAGTGTAGGTTTTCGTGAATGATGAGAAATTGATGGTTTTTTTAATACTCCGGTGACTTATTGACTTTTTAGCACAAAGCAGTAGCCATTTCCATAAAATCTGGTGGCAGGGCATACTGTGGTGACAAAACAGTAAAATGCCGCGTGCCCAAGACTGCCAATTGCCACTTGCTCTCGATATTCGATGTTCCTTTCTTCTGTAGAACTAGAACCCTGAATTTTAGCTGCACCAACATGCTATCAGTTAAAGGCAGTTCTCCCAAGAACTACCCTCCTGCTCTCCCCACTTCCTTCCTGGTATCTCGATGTGGTGATAAGGGCTTGGGCTTGAATGGCCCTTTTGGAACATAAGGTTATGGACTAAAGACGGCAGAATGGCAAGAGAGGAGCTAGGTCCCTAAGGAGCCACTAAACAGGCCCTAGTTTATTTATGTGGATAAGAAATAAACTCTTACCTTGTTTAAGCCACGGCAACTTGAGGTTTGTAAAAACTAGATGTAACTGTATTTAATTGTAATGGGAATGTGGTGATCTGTAGGCAAGGTCTGAATCTAACTCAAATGCTGAAGACACAGGAGGAGGGTAAAAACGGGGGGCTGTTAAAAAAAACCAGGGTTTTCCTTAAAATTGTTTCTTTCCCTAATCAACATAGGGCAGGAAAACAAGAATAATGTCCAAAGAGGATCTGTTTTATATCCCTTCTCTGTTATACTTGGGGCTGGTATCTGGGATCACAGAGCGAGACGCTGGCTAACTTGGTCCCAAAGAACAGCCTTGGTGCAGAGGCAGGACAGGAAGTGTTCATTGGTCCAAGGCCAACTGAATGATGTGGATCATTTTGTGAGTTTTTTGTACAGCTAAATTTATTCAATCAAAAAAACCAAAAAACAAAAAACCACCCTTTATTCTTTCACTATATGTGTCTTACTTTGGGAGCTAAAAGTACTTTTGCTTTTGTAGCTGATTATGACAGTACATGTGGATCTTTGAAAAGCACTGCTTGAACAAAATTTAAAAACTGGCTGACCCACATCAACGAACTGAACCGCTAATCAAAAGCAATCCGAAGTCCAGATATTTGGATGGCAGTAGTGTAGCAGACTGCATTTATCATTTACAAATACTAGTTTCATTTTAACTTCCTGTTTTGAAGTAGGGCCTGTGAGGCATGAGAAACACTATGCTTATTTCTGGATGAAGAAACTGTAAGTGTACGTAACACTTTAACGCCAGTCAGTTCTGCGCTCCAAACAGCAGGGGTACGAGGACACATCCACTGAGCTCAGACATACGAGGTCATGGAGGAGATCACATAGTCGTCCCAGCATCTTGAGGGATGACAACAGCAGTCTCCTTACCCCAGTGTCGCTGATTCAGGTCTGGGTTCCCCATAGATCTCCATCCTAGGAGTTCTAGCTGGGTGTGCTTCTTACTCCAGAGCTTGGGTTTTAAAGAGCCTATCATGTCTGTTCATATTAATCTTTAGGAATTAAAACATAATAGAAATTCATTCAAATACTGACTGAACGCCTACTATGTGCCAGGCACAAGAAATGCAGCGGTGAGCAAAACAGACAAAAATGCGTCTCCATGAAAATTTAATTCCAGGGGGAGGTTTGAACAAACACGAAAGAATGAGACAAACTATCAAATATAATCACATGGTAGTAAGCGGTATGGAGAAACCAAAGCAAGGAAACAGGGTAGGGAAAGTAAGGGGGGTTGGGAGAGCGTGCAGAGAGAGCAGTGCTCTGAGGACCCAGTCCCGGGCACTGGGGTGCCGGAGGGTCAGGGAGACGAGCGGCCATCTGAAGAGGCTGAGAACAAGCAAACAGCAGACAGTCGGAGAAAAACCAAGAGGATGTGGCATCAGCAAACCAAGTGAGAGCAGGGTTCTGGAATTGAGGATCTACCCAAAACCCGGTGACATCCTCCTCCTTGCTTTCCTTCTTTCTCCGCAGTACAGTCATCCCCCCTTGTCTGTGGGGGATCCATTCCAAGATTCCCAGCGGATGCCGGAAACCACAGACAGTACTGAACCCTATACAGACCAAGTTTTTTCTGATGCACATACACCCATGATAAAGTTTAGTTTACAGATCAGGCACTGTAGGAGATCAACAACAATACTAGTAATAAAATAGGACAAATACAGCAATATACTGTAAGAAATGTCATATGAATGTGGTCTCTCTCTCTCTCTGTCTCCCTCTGAAAATACCGTACAGTCCTGGACTCATTCTTCTAATGATAACGCCTACATGATGAGATGAAGTGAGGTGAAGGATGTGGGCATTTCTGACAACACGTCAGAAAGAGGGTTCTGCTTCCTGACCACATCTGACCACGGGTAACTGAAATCGCAGAAAACAAAAGTGAGGATAAGAGGGCTCCTTACTTACGATCGGAGTATGTCATGGCATCCTGGAAGATTAGGAAGGCAGCGTGGAGAACCTGTGCCATGACTGAGCTAAATCCCAGTCACCTACGTATAAAAACCAACTGACAGTTTCTGATACTGACGAGAAACGTGCAGAATTAGCAAGTTATTTAGAAATGCGCAGGTAAGTACCAGAAGAAACGGCTAAAAGAAAGTCAGCAATGGGACTCACGGACAGGGAGCGGTAGGGGAGAAGACTGCTGTTTTCATGAAAAGTCATATGTTAAAAACTACCCGTATTAATTTGACAAAAAAATTAAATACAACTAGTCTGGAAAAAAAAAAATACGTGACTAAATGCCTAGTTCCCAGCCTAAGGGCTACCGAATTACAGCCAGCGGCTAGCAATTTCACATGGTCATCAAGTTTTATTTGTACACTAAGACTGCGTACATTATGTGTATTATAACATGTTATGTGTAAATATAATATATCTACTCTAACATCTACTCAAATGTAGACACCGCTTTCATCACTAAAAATTAAAGGCATTTATGAAATTCTAATGCTTAATCATTAAAGATATTATCATTCAAATGATACTAAAAGCAAACAGAACTACCCTATGATCCAATAATTGCACTACTGACGATTTACCCCCCAAAAACAAAGAAAAAATAACTAATTCAAAGGGATACATGCACCCCTGTGTTTATCGCAGCATTATTTACAATAGCCAAACTATGGAAGCAGCCCAAGTGTCCATCGACTGGTGAATGGATAAAGAGGATAGGTAGTGTATACACATCTTCAATGCAACGGAATATCACTCAACCATAAAAAAGAATGAAATCTTGTCTTTTGCAACAACAGGGACGGGGCAAGAGAGTATAACGCCAAGTGAAACAAGTCAGCCAGAGAAAGACAAATACCGTAAATTTCACTCATATGTGGAACTCAAGAAACAAAACAAATGAGCGGGTGGGGGGGGGGGTAAGAGAGAGAAAAACCAAGAAAGAGACTCTTCACTATAAGAACAAAATGAAGGTTACCAGAGGGGATGGGGGTAATTAAACAGTGCACGTATCATGATGCAGATAAACAAATAATTAATTAAATAAATAAAATTACTGAAAAGATTTACGAGAGCTAAAATTCGCAGCCTTATTTACTATTTAGAGATTCTTATTGACCAGGCTTGAATTAAATACTTGAAAATAAAAATGTCAAGGACTGGAAAGAATAAAGACAGGTGGAATATGAAAAATAAAGCGTAAGCACCATTCTTTTAAAAGCACCACTTTCTAACTTAGTTCCTCACTCTAATAAGAGCTGACTTAAAATTCTACTGGATTCTTAAACTTATTGGAATCCCACTGTAATCAACTCTGGGAAGGCAGACATGATTCATTCTATGTGGATGTAACCTTGTTTGCGTGTCTTTCCAACAATTCAGAGTTCCTTGAATAAAGAGAACATGTTCTAGTAATCTCTGGATCTCTATTCCTGGCACAGATGCTAACATAAACAATCATATTTGACGTTTCCTAAGTGCTTTCCCTGTGCTGCACACTTCCTTAAGCACTTTGCACATATTTTCACCCAATTACTATTGTAGAAACAGGAGTCATCTGCTTCCTGAACTTGGTACTGTTTTATTCCCATATCACAGAAGAGGAAACTGAGGCACACCAGGCAAGGGATTCTCAGACACATATAGAGTGAATGGCAAAACGAGGATTAAAAGCCAGGCAATCTCTCTTTAGAGCCTCGGCTCTTAATGTTTATGTAAATATTACTAAATGTTTGATAAAATCATTGGAATAATAAACCCAGAGATAACTTCTTTTAACTGGTAATAAAAAAAGAAAATCATCATGCTATTCGTGAATGCTATGCTGATTTTTTTCCTATGCATATTTGAAGGGTTGTTTGTCTGATAATCTCACCTTTTTCTTTTTGTTCTGGATCATCTGTTTTTCTATTTGTTTCTGAAAAGTAAAGACAAAACAAAATGAATATTGTGAATGTCACCATTCAATATCTCAAAATATAGGACCATATTTACATGAATTCAAACAAATATAATTTAAGAAAAATATTTCTGGGCATAGAGTTTAATTTTCCAAAACCTTAAATTCTTTCCCACATGAAATTGGTTACAAAAACATTAAGATTAGACTCATTTGAATTACTTAGAAAAGTCACCAGGCAGTGGGGTGCCTCGCGTCTCAGTCGGTTAAGGTTCCAACTTTGGCTCAGAGCATGAGTCTCATAGCTCACAAGTTCGAGCCCTGGTTCGAGCCCTGCGTCAGGCTGCGCTGACAGTGTGAAGCCTGCTTCGGATCCTCTGTCTCCCTCTCTCTGCCCCTCCCCCACTCATTTTCTCTCTCTTAAAAAAAAGTCACTGAGCAGTAACCAGGGCTGAGGCATCTGGCTAAGTGTTCCACATCTACAGGACACTGGCCGTGGGTCATCCCCACCAATTCTTTTTTTTTTTTTTTTTAATTTTTTTTTAATGTTTATTTTTGAGACAGAGAGAGACACAGCGTGAGCAGGGGAGGGGCAGAGAGAGAGGGAAACATAGAATCTGAAGCAGGCTCCAGGCTCCAAGCTGTCAGCACAGAGCCCGATGTGGGGCTTGAACCCACAAACGGTGAGATCATGAGCTGAGCTGAAGTCGGACGTTTAACTGACTGAGCTACCCTGGCGCCCCAATCCCCGCCAATTCTAAGTGCCTCTGTGGGGACAAAGGCAAACTGAAGTGGAGAAAAGCCCTCATCAAAGCTCGTTCAATATCTGCATTGTCTCCTAAAACCCTAAGAGTACTTTATAACAGCAATTGTGTGCTTTAAAGGAATACAGTGTGTCCCCGTCACTGGGGTGAAACCAGTCTCCCTTCCCTAAGGACTTCACATATACACAGGTGGTCTGCTGAGGGTGCTTGCACTGAGCCCAGGTGCTGAGGAGCCCACGCTTACCTGTGTCAGCCTTTCACTAAGTGAGTCAGAGTCATAGGGTCTGTCCTACAAACGGGGCTGAGTGCAAACCCACCCAGAACCTGGGCCAGTCAAACAACATCCCCCCTACATGGAAAACTATGGTACCTGATCTGACCGTGCACTTATAACCTCATTTCTGCATTATCTCATATCTGGCTTACTGTTTAATATAGGTTGGGGTCTAGTAGACCAGTTGATTATAGTTCCAGCAGGTACTTATCTAGCTTTGGGTATTTCTCGGCACACATGTTTCGGCATGGATGTTGGAGTCGGGATGGGGTAGCATTTGGGAGGCTGATATAAAATCTGACTCAGTTCTTCCCCCATCGTAGCCTGGGCTCTGGGGTGAGATCAGGGATACAACCACAGAACACTAGACTTTCTGCTCCCCAGTTTCCTCCATATGTTCAAGATCACACTTCTCATTTTTTAGAAGTGAAAAGTCAATCTGAGGCAGGCTCCCAGACAAAGAAGGAATTTTCATAGGTCAAGTGTTTTTGAGACGCTAGTGGAGAGGAAGGGAGCAGCCTTTCAAAGCTGCAGTGTGCCAGGCTCGGTCTAAGCCCATGGCATCTGTCTCCTGTCTCCTCACACCCGGGAGGGAGGGAGGTCTCATCTCCCTCTGTGCAAGGGAGGAACTTGAGGCTTAGAAAGTAGAGTGTCTGACGTTATCAAGGTCAGTTTACATCCCTCCAGAGCATATAATCTTCTACAGTGCCCTTCTCTGCAAGAGAAATAAAGGGTAGTGACGTGTAGGTCTTGCCTTCCGCAAAGAGTGGGTTTTATAAAGTTGACTGCCACACACTTCCTGCCACTGAGGCAGGACATACACAGGGCATTTAAAAACGAAAACGAAAGCACGTTCTAGATCTCCGGTGAATGTTCTAGAATTTCTGATCTCATTAAAGTTAGGCAGTGTATCATTTAACAGGCAGACGTCAGGGATACAGGATTGAGGGAAATCGTCAACAATTTCAGTCCTTGAGAAGTCCTTCCGGTGGTATCATCAGTGTCTGCAGGAAGGTTGTGACCCTCCACGTCCTCAGTAATCTGTCACCTGGCACACGGCTAGTGTAATTTGAAAAGTCGAGCACAAAATGCAAGTTCCTAACCTGACTAGAGAAAACAGGCGGGTACTGGTCATGAAGAAGAGTTTAGGGTCCTCCACACATCTTCTGCCCCAAGGGAGTTAATAAGGAAGGAGGAGTGGTTTGATCACATTTTAAATAGGTGTGAGAGGGCCCTGGCCAGGCGTGCTCCCAGGAACAAGGGACACCACCTTTCTTGCTCTTCCAACGGAGTATCTATGATGAGGCAATGAGCTTGACCTAAGAAGGCCCAGCCCAAACTCGCCCAGCTCTGGGCAAAAGCTCTCGCTCGTGTCCCCTTCTGTCCCTCACATCACATCAACATGCTAACATCTGTGACTCATATTTGGATATGGGGAAATGCACAGAGAGCAGGCAGGTTAGCCTCTCTGATTGGCAGTGCTGAAATGTAGCTTAGATAAACGGGTTTTCTAAGAGTTCCAGCTTACTCACTGCTACTCTGCACAGCTAATAGTAAAGTGTTACTCTGCTTTACTTTATTCTCTGCACATACGCGTGTCTGAGACACTTTATGTGGACCTTGCTGTGCCACAGAGGAAAATCGACTTGTTGGATGCTTATTGTGTGCCCGGCATTGTTCTAAGCACAAAATGCAGATGATCCCATCAATTCCATCGACCCAATCCAATTCCGAAAGTTGTCAAAGTACAGTTCACTTGTATCTCATACTTAGTGTTTAAGCACTCATACTGAAGAAGAAAGACATTATGCAATCTCTAACCGTACTTAACTCTTTTTTCCCCTTTCAGAATAAGAAAACTCTTACTAAAATGAATGGGATCTTAAGTGTCCAAAAATTATCATGAACCATTAAAGAAAATCACTTTCATGAATTGTAAAATCCTCAACTCTATGATGTTCCAGATCCTGTGCTGATCTGCTTTCTGGCCAGCTCTTCTTGGACCCCAGGCACATCCCAAAGCTAATTTCCATCCGGGTCTAGTTGTCCTCCCAAGCTCATCACAATGGCATCTGTGACTCCCCAGGACCCAGACCTAGGGCTCTGCTTCCCCTCTGACAGCCCACCCAGCCCAGCCTTCCAGTACAGCTTCCTGTCTTCTTCTGTCTCCCTGCCAGTACTGAGTCAGGTCCCACCGCATCACCCGGACTATTCCTGGTTAGTCTCCAACCTGCCTGCCCTCCAGCTGTTTCCACCTTCCCCCTGTTGCCCATTGCTCACTTCAGAATACCATGAATGACCATGGCTGGCAGGTGTTCCCCTCTCTGACCTTCAGTATTCTTGTCCACAAGCAGGGATAACCCCTATCTGCTGGGGAACCTCAACTCCCTAACACACACGAAGCACATAGCAGAGTAAATGAGGTCAATAAAAGTGGGTCCGCTTAGCCCATGTTCAAAGTCTTTATTTTATTGTTTCCTCTGGGCATGCTGGGGGAGAAAACAACACTTTCTGGAATTTTCTAGTTCTCCTTTTCTGCCCAGAGAATGAAGATCAAAAGAGAACTTCCTGTACCCTTTTCTGCTCTACCACCTGCTCAGACTCTCTTCTTCTCAACTAGGATGAAGTTCATTCATGTCCTCACAGAACAATGATCATGGTGGCGGTGGGGGGGGGGGGG